GAAGAAACAGGGAGAAAGTGAATTTTATAAGGGATTCATTTGAAATTGTGGTCTCAAAATTTATACAAAGTACAGGATATGGAAATTTTGGCTAACTTGAATTACCTGTAGAAAAAAACCTAAAACCAAATGTTTTTGTTTGGCTACACGATTCGGTTTGAACCAGCAGTATGATGTTACCATTTATGCTGGGTTCAGAAAAGTTTACCATCTAGTCCAAAGTTGTTTTAGTCTCTGTGATCTGCTCTGATCAAATTATATTTAAAATGTGATGTTTAGTTTGGGATGCCAGTTTTTAAGAGACTCAGTAAAAGGTTTCCTGAAGGAACCTGGATGGAGAGTCATCTAGAAATCAAGTTTTATGGCTAATAGTAAAGAATTTATGTGTGTTTACCTGGGAAAAAAAGGAATTTGTGAGTGAATTGTGGCTACTACTTTGCCTTATCTTCAAATATTTGAAAGGCAGTCTTACAGAAATGTTACTAAGGTCATCCTCTGTATATGCTATATATGTAAAGCACTTAAAAACCTTGCCTAGGAAATAAGNTAAAGAATTTATGTGTGTTTACCTGGGAAAAAAAGGAATTTGTGAGTGAATTGTGGCTACTACTTTGCCTTATCTTCAAATATTTGAAAGGCAGTCTTACAGAAATGTTACTAAGGTCATCCTCTGTATATGCTATATATGTAAAGCACTTAAAAACCTTGCCTAGGAAATGTACAAATGTTAGTTATTATCATTATCATGATTCATATTATTTGTGTACTTTTCTTACTCCTTGTTTATGATTTATTTTAATAATACTAAACACCTAAAGTTAATTGCTTATATACAAGGCATAGTGTCAGATGCATTTACATACGTTATTTATTTCTTATCACAACCCTACAAAGGGTATGTATGTACTCTTATTTTCCCTATACAAATTAGAAATGGAGGCTCAGAAAGGATGTCTAAGGTCCTGAAGCCTGGTGAGCAGTAGGCTCACAATTTGAGCCCTGGGTGGCTGTTCTCCCACACTAAACTGCTGTGCTAGTATTCATAAATTTGTTAAATTATTAAACTGAGTTGACCAACCAGGGGTAATACAAAGTAGGTAATGACTGGGTTGCTGACTTAGAATGCAGTTACACAAAAGTTTTGAAAATATGAGCAGTGATAGTATCAGTGGATTATACCTGATCTGTATTTCTTTAAATTCTATAAAACACCAGGGATTTTCAGAAACACCATTCATTTAATAACATTTTCAGAAAAAAATATTATATTAAATATAGATACTGATTATAAGACAAAGCCAGATCAGAAAACTGTTCAGTTGCAAAAAACTTTTATAACAGAATGATACTTTAAAGCATTGGGTCTCTAAGCTTTTTTATTTTACCTTCTAATCATTTTTGATATTGCATCCCTGGTATAAATGTAGTTATTTAATTTTAAATTACATACATATGCTATTATAACTTATATTATAAAACATACATAGAAATGGAGAATTAGAAAGAATACTGTTGTAAAAATATTTAACTTTATTAATGGTATTAAAATGTGATTGAATATACATCAATATTTTTGAGTCTTTGTTTAACACCTTGTAATGCTCTGAAGTTCTGGTTCTGTATTCAGGTCAATGCAATATTTCATCTTTAGAACAATGGAGAGCCATTGCAAGTTTGTTGATAGACTTATTTTTGACTTATCAGTGAATTATTTACCACTGACTAGAAAGAAACAAGAATAGACTGACAAACCTTTTATAAATATTGAACTTTTATTTGCTTTAAAGCCTGTTTTAGTGATTAAATACTTTTTTTGTTCAACATTTCTTGACTCACTTGAGAAATAGAAATAAAACAGGACATTAACATGACAGAATCATGTTTTACTTGGAAATGTTTTGCCTCTAAATATTTGAGTAAACCCAAAATCCGGGTATGATTTTTTTTTTTATTCTGTGGCTTCACAAACCCTCAGCATATCTCTGCATACCCTACTTTGACTATGGCTTTATAGTTCTTATTTAGGTCCGTTATATCTCTTTTATTAAACCATTTTTTCATAGGATTAATAGTATAATTTTCCCTGGTATATTATTTAAAGATTTATCATTACTTTATATTTAATGTAGGACCCACTATAGCATTTTTCCAATGGGAATAAAAATGACATAATTCAGAATACGGTGGAAAGTGGGGATTACCTTTGCTGAGAGATTAACAAACTATACTTATCTGTTAAATAAGAAACAAGAAAGCAATGCCCCTAAAGTTAGTCTACACGTGTTCTGAAATATTTTTTTTTGACATCTCAGGAACATAGTCTGAGGTAGTTAACTTTTTGACTGATTCCATTCATCATTGTAATTTGATGAATAATTACTTTAATTATTTAAGTTACTGAAAAAGGATTTATAATAACAATAGGAACTCTGAGAACCTTGTCTGCCTATTCCTATTGTGTCTCCTTTAAATCTCATATCCTTAATTTATAGGCAGGATAGTGACACTTGCCTTTTTATTGTTTGAGACCTGCATTCTTTTTTTCTTTAAAACTCTCTAGTTGTCTGCTTTGTACCCACAGATAACTTTCCTTCCCCGTATTTTTCAATTTGATCGTGTCTGGAATTGTGTCAGTGCATAGAGCAGTGATCCAAACAGCTGTACCTTTACAAACAGTCGCTCTCACTGCCAAACTACTTTGTAGTGCAAATCTTGAAGGAGAACTGCACCTGCTCTCAATGTGGATAAAAATGACAAATGTTAGGAAAAGAATAATTTTAGGATTGCTTTAAATCTGATGGCAGCTGATCTCAGAATTCTGCTGGGGATTCTTCATCTGGGAGTTAAGAAGTCCTGCTATTTAGAGTGAAAGAGCCTCCTTGTTTTTTCTGCTAGGTCTTAGGTGTGTTATTTTAAAGAAATAATGTGCTCTTTGTGCTATGATCTTGAAAGTTTTCTTCCAAATATACTGGTGGTTTCTTAAAATTAAGTTGTGGACTAAACATTTTTAACTGGAATCGCTAATTTATCATGTATGAACATTGAATTTCAGATTAAGTCACCTTGAGTAGCAAAGAGTATGTGTAAGGGTAACTCCACCATGAGAAATTATTTTCTTATGGAAGAAATGGTGTCAGTTTAAGAATAACACATTGTTTGAGAGTTGGTAGAATATAAGGGACATTTCATGTTTTACGTAGAGAGCATTTCCTACTATTTGTTTGGAGTATGGGGGAAAGTAACTATGTATGTAGGTATTGCAATTATCTGTTATGAATTTGCTGGTTCTTTAATATCATCCTTAATGTTAAGCACAGGCTTGTTCCTGACAGCAATTCAAAACAGTTAAAATACTGTGAAAATTATATTCAGTCCTTATCTTTTAACAATAAGCAGTTGTTTTAGTTAATTTTAGTATTTTAAGTCATTTGCAGGATGAGGCAAAAGCAGGTTTTCAGTAGTGAGTACACTAAACAGTTTATTCCTGAATTATTATTTATTTATTATTGTATTAGTTTCCATACAAACAACTGTAAGCCTACTTTTCACGTACTATACAAGTCACCCGTTAAAGTGTTCAAATAAATGGTTTTTAGTATATTTACAGATATGTACAAATCTCACCAAAGTCAATTTGAGAGCATTTTTATCACCTCAGAAAGAAATTCTAAACCGTTATCTACTATCCCCCTACCTACCCCCCACCCCCACTCCCCTCAGCCCTAAACAACCACTAATCTGCTTTCTGTTTTGGATATTTCCCTACTCTTTTTATGGCCTAGTTGTCTCCCCAGGCAAGATCTCAGGGGCAGAACTCTGTGGAGTTGAGGGTGGAAACAATAGAAAGCTGCTCTCTGAGTGGCAGCCTTGCTTTAGGAGCTGAGTACTTGAGGGAAGGGGGAGGTGGGAGCCTGAATTCTTGGCTTACCTATCTCCTTGGGTGCAGTCACTGCCTCATGACCCAGGGTGAGAGTGATTGAGTGATTGGGGCCCCAGCATTTTCTATGACACTTAGCTCTGCGGAAGAGCTGTTCCATGATTGGAGGCTTGGTGGAAGAAAGGTGGCCTTGTGTGTAGATAATGTCAGTAAAATGAACAGCAAGAATAAATTATTTATTAAATATTTAATGTCTCATATATACTCAACATACATTTCTATTTTTAATAAATATTTGTGTGGAATCTCTGAGAACAGTTAGAATTTGGTTAATATAAAATCTTCACATGCAAAATTACAGGGTAACATTTCTGGAGAGGAGAAAAATATATATCTCCAAACTGTACTTGAGAAAATCTAAAGACTTTTCAGAACAGTTATTTCATAGTTTTGTAACTGAAAGTCTCTAAATCCTAAAACTCATTCTCTCACTTAGGAATCAACTTAGTCTTCGGCAACTGTTCTGTATAGTTGAGTAGGATTTGCATGGAAACTTTTTATAATGTTACATAAAGCACTTGCAGTACTGTGTTTTAGATTTGGGATTTAATAAGCATTAAAAATTATTAATAAAATAATTTAATAAAATAAAATTTAATGAAAATAATCACTAAGCTTTAAAAATTTGGCATGTCTTGATTCATTCAAACGTTCTAATGGTTCCTTAACTCTAAAATGATGACTGATATGTAGTAAGTTGTAAGAAAAATGGTACTCTATTTGGGTAAACTAGAATAGTATATTAAAAAAGCAAATTAATTTTAGAATTTCATTTGGGTATGTCAAGAAAAACCAAATATAAGAATTTGATACTCTGTGGTTTAGAGTTTTATATATAAATCATAATTATTTTTTAAAAGTTGAGTCACACTCTTTAATTATATAATTGCAGATAGCCTTTATAAAGTCAAAAGCTCCTTAGCAATATGAAGAGTCCCTTTTCTTTCCTAAGTTACATGGTAAAGCCCGTTTTTTGTAAAATAAGCCTCTGTTGGGTATGGTGTTAATAACTTGAAAAAGTTAGTTTTGAGATAACTTGTTCTGATTTTCTTCCCCTTCTAAGCTATTTGAACTGCTGGGACCTGATGGACTTGAACTTATTGAGAAGCTCCTTCAGAACAGAATTACAATTGTGGATAGATTTCTTAATTCTTCAAATGATTTTAAGTTTCAGGCTCTTCAAGGTAAGGAAGTATTTAGTGGTAATTCTAATTTAAAGGAAAAATTCATTGGTTAGCAAATCCTTTTAGTATAATTATACTTTTAATATCCTTTGGTGTATTGTGTAATTTATTGTTACCATCCTTTTAAAGTAGATTTTAGATATGGCAGATTAGTAAAGAATATCAATGTCCTGAATGAAAAAGGGTGGCATGGCAAAGATTCTATTTATGTTTAGGTATGGCATTTTTTTTGTAGCAGATTTGAATAGACAAAATTTTTTTAAAAGCAAATACATACAATAATTACAATGGGCCAAGTAGTAGTATACTTTCTCTCCAGCTATTTATTTTGAAAACTTTCAAACCTATTTAAAGGTGCAAGGATTGTACAGTGAACATGCCCTTTATGTAGATTTGTTAGTCATGAACATTTTGTTTCCCCTCCCCCTCCTCTTCTTTCTCTCTTCTCATTATAATTCTCTACATAAATTCTCATGCACACAAGTGTGCACGCACACACACACACTCCTACTTTTAAAATTTGTGCTAAACGGTAGAAGTTGCAGACATCCTAATAATTTGATATAAGATGTGCAGCGTACATGCAAGAGCAGCAACAGTCTCCTACTTAACAGCAATACAGTTAACCACACTTAGCAAATTGAACCTTTACATTGCCATGTATTACATATATTTTAACCCCAGAAGAATTAGGGAGAATTGTCTAGGAAGCCAAAACTATAACAAATGCCTGACTTACTATGGCACAACTGATGCCAAACTCAGGTTTTACCTGATAAGCAGGAAAACTGATTTCTTACCAGTTTACCTGAATGTTTCTTTATAGCTTTATAAATAGTTTGGAATTTTAAAAAAGTGTATGAGCATGAGAAATTAAACACCCTTCTTCAAACTCATCATCTATCCTCCTATATTATGCCATCTTTTCCTTACGTTTATTAGTATGGCACTAAAAGGAAATTATAAAAACAGCCTGGATTTCCAAAATTTCTTATTAATTTCCTTTATCTTGTACTTTGATTACTGATAGTTGCCTTGAGTTGCTTTGAGATTTGTAGAAACTTTGAAGAATTGATATTAGCCACTTTGTGTTTCTATAGGTCTTTGATTTTTTAAGTGTATTGAATACTTATAAACTGCTCCCATCTGTTAAACAGCTCTTTATCCAACATTGCAGTAAGCCAGGGAGTTTAGGAGCATTTAAAATGAGTGTTAGATGAAAAGGAATGAGTTTAAAAGTCTAGTCTTGTGATATAAATTCTAAGAATTTGTGTTCATTTTGCCAGCCTTCTAAGTGTTAATATAGAGATACTTATTGATTTAACCTTTTTAAAATTCACCCAACTTTAATTTTTAGTTTTTAATTTTTTTCAGTTACAGTTGACATTCAATATTATATTAGTTTCAGATATACTTACCAAATATAGTATATACTATATACTTACCAAATGTAGTTATCAAATAAACTACATTTGATAGTGTAGTTTATTAACAAAAGTTTAAAAATCAGTCCAGCCCACACATTGTTTAGGAAGCTGTAGATGATGAATTAGTATTGTTTTACAGTTTCCTTGTATTGATTTTTATATAACATTTATACACAAATCTTATTTTATTAGGATAACTTTTTAGAAGCAACACACTTTTTAACCCATCAATCTGTCCTAAATATTTTCTGCTCTTCTACTGCTCTTCTATGCTGGATCATTATTGATATTGCTAATATCTAAGAATAATAATTACACTATAGAAAATTGGGATCATTTAAACAAATAGGCTTTAACTTTTCCTAAGGACTGTGATAAAAATTCTGACAAACCATGTATTTTAAGGGTTGTTTACTTTTTAAGTAGAGTTTTTTTTATGTAGATGCATTCAATGTGACTCTCCTTAAAAATTTTTTTGGAGGGGATGGGGGAATGCATTACTCTTGACAAAAGATTCTTCAGATCCTTGTTACTTTACCACTGTTCTCATCCATTTATACCTTTTGATATAGTTTTGCATTAATTAGCCTTCAAAATTCTCTCAGAAATATCAAATTATATTTGTACACTTTATTAAGCTACCTTAGTATGGCAGCAACATTCCATTCTTTAGTCTCCAAAATCGTGGTCTTGGAGAGCAGTAACATCTTGCTATGTAGAATTTTCTAGCCTTCATACTGGTTTTCTTTGAATCTTTTTATCCACATATACACCACCCTGCTTCATCTCTGTTCTTATAACCAGAAGATGTAAGGTAGGGGAGAAGTAGGTGGGTATAGTGTACTGACTGCTAAGTTGAAGATCATTGTCATTAAATTCTGTTTTCAGGACTGATGTGGAGAATGTTTAGTACAGGGTGTATTATAAAATAAAAATAGTTAGCTCATGCTTTCAAGTGAAAGTGGTTTGAGTAATTACATAGACTTTTTTCTTAGTAATTACATTCTGAAAGAATACAAGCTTCTGCAGCATTGTTCTTCAGTAAAAGTTTATGTTAGAACTGCTGTTAAGCATGTGCATTTCATTTCTTCTTGTCTCTACCGTCGCTTAACCCATCAAAGAGAACCGTATATTTAAGCATTTCCCGCTCCACAACTTGATTTTTGTATTGCCTATTGTGCTCCATCTCACAGGACATATATTCTGTATATTCTGATTCTGTCTTTATAGCAGTATTCTTGAGGCAGACATATTTTCTTCCTTTAATTTCCTTAATTTAGAAGGTCACAAGTGTATATAATAGGATTTTGTTACAGTCACATTTGTTTAAAATATTAATAACATTAATTAAAATATTAATGTAGCATTTAGTATGTCACCAAAAGTATTCAGTTTCACACACATCTTTAACATTCGTTTTTTATGTCATATTTTTAAAACTCCTGCTTAATAGCTGATTATGTGACTTTGCAGTTTAACTTTCTTTTAGTTCAGAGTATATGTGGAAACTGTTATATGCCTCATTATTTTTCTAACACTGAAAGTTAGTATATTATAAATTTATAAGACTTACTTAGTAAGATATATAAGACATAGATAAATACATTTTTTAGAACTGCAAAACATAGTAGTGCTAAAATAGATGGGATTATATCTTATTGTATAAATTTGAGACTTACAAAAAGCCATTATACAGAGGAGTTTTTTCATGTGATTGGAAGTTAAAATGACTTATTCAAAATTATGTCATGAGCTAGTGACAGATGCCTGAGAACTATGAAGATACGACTTAAGGTGAATTTATTAGAAAGCTGGTTTTCCCATCTTGATGCTGTGCTTAATCCCTTCCTTGCTCTGTGTTAGATCTTGGAATCTGATAAAATAACTTGCACTGTGCTCCTTCAGAGTGCGAACGAAGTCTCAGTGTTCATTGTCTCCCTAGCCCAGTAGCAGTGCCTGAAACCTAGTAGGTCCTCAGTACAATAATGTATATTGATGTAGATTGCTTTCCACAACATTGTTGTCAGTTCCCTTAGGGCTGCAGTGAACCAAGATACTACTACTTGGAAAGATTTAATTAAACACAGAAGGTAATCCTGTTGGAAGAAAATCTTTTCTCAGTTGACCAAACCACAGGTTTCAAATTGTAACTTATAAACATTGAGCTTTGATTGACCTGGTTTCTCTTAGTGGTTCTGGTCTTCTTCCTTTTTATTTTTTTTAAACCTGTACTTCCATGAAAAGGTAGACCATACTCTTTTTTTTAATTATTTTCCTTGGTTATCTTCTAACTATATCCTGAGCTAATATTAACAAATTTTCTTTCCTGTATATATAAGTAGTAACATATATATAACCTAACACAGTAAGGCCTATTACATCGGGAAAAGTTATATCTAATATGTAAAGAATATCTTTGTTTTATTATTATGTTAACAGCCAATGCTAATTAGTATTGATAATTATTATTGAAATTATATAAATAGAAATTATTTCAAAATTAGAAAATTGAATTTTTAGTTTCTGGTGTCCTATTTAAGAATTTATAACTAAACTTTAGGAAGAAAATATCTGCTGACTTTTCTTAACCACTATACAATATCATTTAGATATTGTGATTTTTAAAGTCTCCTTAAGCCCGCCTGGGCGTGGCTTAGCAGTTGAGCATCAACCTAGGATCCAGGTGATCGGGGTTCGATTCCCGGTCAGGGCACATGCCCAGGTTGCGGGCTCGATCCCCAGTCGGGGGCGTGCAGGAGGCAGCCGATCAATGACTTTCTCATCACTGATGTTTCTATCTCTCTCTCCCTCTCCCTTCCTCTCTCTCAAGTCAATAAAAGATATAAAATAAAATAAAATTTAAGAAGTCTCCTTAAGATATACAAATTAATGTGCCAGTTTTTAAAAAAATGAATTGTTAGAGCATTGTGCCGTCATGTTTTGGTGAGGAAGAAAATGGTTTTAATAAAGGTTTAATTTGTCGAACATGATGTTTTAAATTTGCTTCATAGACAACTGCAAGAAAATTTTAGGAGAAAATGCTAAACCCAATTATGGATGTCAAGTCACTATTCATTCTGAACAAGAAAAACAGTTAATGAAACAGTATCGTCGAGAAGGAAAAAGAATTGCTAGACGAGAGAAAAAGGCTGGAGAAGATGGTGAAGTTTCTGCAGAAGGACTCATGTGCTTTGATCCTAAGGAATTGCGGATACAAAGGTAATAAAAGCCAGCAGCTGAAAAAATGCTGGTGCTGTATTTGCTACTTTTATGTATCATTTCTTAGTTTAGTTTTACATTATTATTATTCTAGTCACATCGTCATATAAGAATAGAATTTTGTTGTATGAAAACCTAATTTTCTGAGATAAGAAAGCAGTGATCTGCTTAATTAGAATATTCTTGGTTGCATCTAGGTGGGTGAGAAATTTAGATTATAGAGGTAAGCTATTTTTAGGTGCTGTGCAGACACTGCTAGCTTATGATGTTACCAAAAAATGTGTTGACTCCTGTGTGATTACACAGAAAATATCTTCCTTTGTACAGTTTATTTCTTCTCTTCTCTTTTATAATGAAAGTCTACCTGAAATAGTTATTATAGTGACCTTGTTTTAGTATATGCTTTTTGTTGCAAGATAAAAATTTCAGATTTAGCCTATTGTTTTTGTATTTAGAGAGCAGGCACTTCTGAATGCTAGAAATGTTCCAATTCTGAACCGGCAGAGGGACGTGGACTTCGAAAAAATACGTTACCCCCATGTTTATGATTCCCAGGCTGAAGCCATGAGAACATCAGCATTCATTGCTGGTGCAAAGGTATGTCACTGGTATATGACCACTTTTGGGTAATATATCTATTGTGAGGAAATGACACATAGATTTTCCCTGTTTCCTTTGTTACTCTAATACTAGTGGGCTATACTATACTAAATTGTATTTAAAAATACTGTGGAAAATGAAATAATGCAGTGTATGTAAAGTTCTTGACACACAGTAGGTATTTAAAACATATTTGTTCACCTCTCCTTCATTATATATGCTACTTGTTTTTTGGAGTTTTAGCAGATGTATTGCTTTTTTACTAAACTTTACATTATATATTGCATATTTTTCCTACCTTTGTGAGTACATTTATCTTCTAGAATTCCATCTAATTAATGTATACTTTAAGATTTATCAACATAATATGGTTTGTGTGTTACATGAGATACCTGATACACGAATGATTTGTGTGTACCTGGTTTTTGTTTGTTTGTTTAGGCTTCCTTTCCTTTAAATTAGCTAAATTTATTTTTTAGTGCTATTTGGTAAAACGAGTAGCACACTCTCTCTTTCTCTCTCTTCCTCTCTCTCTCTGTCTCTTTTTCTGTCTCTCACAAGAATATTTATCATAGAGCATTTGTTTTTTTATTATTATTGGATTTTAATTTTTTATGTTTATAGATGATTTTGCCAGAAGGAATCCAAAGAGAGAATACCAAGATGTATGAAGAAGTAAAGATTCCCCACAGTGAACCAATGCCAATTGGCTTTGAGGAAAAACCAGTTTATATCCAAGACTTAGATGAGGTGAGATGATAATTTTATAGAGTTGATATTTTTGATCCTTGGTATGTTTATGACTGGATTTGTATTGGAGAAATTATTTTTAAAGGTCAGTTAACTAATACAGTAAAGAGACATATGTGGTTGGTTACTAAAGATGCATAGTAGGGGAGTTTAAATTTTTTAAAATGCATATATACATACATTCCTTTATACATAAAACATATTTATGTACATTTCTGTGTATATATTTCTATAACTTCATGTTTATTTTGGTTCTTTCTGCTGATATTTGGTTCAACCTATGTAAACTGACTTAAGTAAAATGTTTTAAAGGTTTTCTGTATTGTATAGACATATCAAATTGTCAAGTTATAAAGAAACATAATATTGGAGGGAGCGGGGACTAAATTCTAAACTATTTATTTTCCCTTAAGTTGTAAATTTTAAATAATTTCAGACCTATGGAAAAGTTATGTGATTAGAATTATGCATATACTCTTTGTCTCAATTTACCATTTGTAAAAATTTTGCCATATTTCTTTTATCTCAAAATAAAATATTTTAAAATTTACTTTAAAGCATACATATTATTTAAAGTTAATCTTTTCTGTTACCAAAATGAAGTTGCTTTGTTTTTATATATGAGTAGTCATTCAGAAATATCAAATAATATATTCAAGCAAAAGAATACCATAAAGCAGCATAATGTGTAACCACAGTCAACCAAAATTAACTACATTCAGTATATATGTTAGCATGTGTATTTTATTTTACAAAATCAAATGATATAATAAATATTGTTTTGTGTGTTTGTATATATACTTACATATATCTTTCTGTGTCATACATATTTAACATTATTTTTATTTACCATACAGTATTACATTTTATGCCTTTATTACAATTCTTTATTGTTACAATTCTAAGTTGTTTTTCTACAATAAGTTTTTATAGTAGACCAAAATTGTAATCAAACCTTTACTAGTAGATTGAATTCTGTTAATTAGAACTTTTCAAAATCCAAATGTTTTGGCTCCTATTTAGTCACAATTTTTTGGGAGGGGCCAAGATATCTATATTTTAAAGATGATTTTTTTAAGCTCTGTAGGTGATTTTGAAATGCAGCCAGGGCTGAGAGCCTATAAAATTAAATAATTATATACATAATTCTTTTTAAACCTTACCAGTCATTATAAGCATTATCATTAAGATTTATTTTATTTTTTTATATTTAATACTATAACTTTTTATGTAAAGGCATTAACATTCATTGTCCATATAGTGAATGAATCAGGCTTATTTTTCTTTCATACTTATTTCTAAATAAGCATGCATGTTTAGCTCTGTAAAGGAGCAGGTAGTAATTATTTTAGGCTTTGTGGGCCACATAGGGTCTCTGTTTCACAGTTATTATTGTCTTCCTTTTTATTAAAATATCCTTTCAAAATGTAATAACCATTCTTAGCTTATAGACCATAAAAAATTTTTAAAAATAAAATAAAAATAGGTCTCTTGCCAGGTTTGGTCCTCAGGCCATAGTTGTTGGTCCTTGTTCTGTCTTCTTGAACAGCCTGTCATTTGTGGTATTTCTGGAATGATTTTAATTGATGAATATTTCTTTTTTTATTATAACTTTTTTCTGCTTTTTGATACATTTTACCATTTTTGACTGGATGCCAGACATTATGATTTTACCTGTTGAGTATTGGATATTTTTGTATTCTTGTAAATATTATTGAATCTTTTCCTGGGACATTCTGATGTTACTTTGGATCAGTTAGAGTTTTCAGGTCTTGCTTTTAAAGTTTCTTAAGTAGACCAGAATGGCGTTTAGTCCAGGGCTAATTTGAGTACTCTTTAATTCCCAGTTAGTTTAGAGGTTTTCCACTTTGGTTGGTGAGAACAGGAACTGTGTCAGACCCTGTGTGGTGAGACCTGAGTTTACTTCCTCTAATCTGTTCATATGGTTCTCTCCCCGACCTTGGGGAGTTTTCTCATATGCTTGTGCTGTTCAGTTACTCACCTAACGACTTGAGACTTGAGGGAGACACTCTGCAGATGTCTGGAGCTGTCATATCTCTATGTCCCAATCTCTCTCTCTCTCTCTCATTATTTCTTTACAATAAAAATATCTCTCCCAAATGGAGAAACTTGCCTTTATGGGAATGGAGTAGGACATGAAGCTGATTAAGGTGAGAATTATTGCTCCACTGAAGCTCACAAAATCCCTATGTTTTAATAGCCTTCAGTGTTTTCCGTGGATTTTTTTTTCTTTTTAAACGAAAAGCAGCAGATAACTCTGGAAATTGGGAACCACAGCAAGTTAAAAGGTTTGTCTTCCCACCTCTCTCCGAAGGAGGCTAATAGCCAGTTGCATTCCATTGTAAGTCACTATCCAACAAAGGAAAAAAGTCCTGTACTCACAGTTGCAAAGTATTGGAAAAGTGAGTCTTACTCTCAAGTAAGGCCTTAAAATGAGAAAAGGAAAAGGGGTTGACGCCACCCCCCCCTTTCTCACTCTTTACCTACAGTAGCAGTTTTCACTGGGCAGCATGTGAGGAGTCCCCACATCCTCCCCCTCCCCAGGAGACATTTGGCACATGTGCAAACATTTTGGGTTGTCACAACTAGGAGGGTGCTACTGACATCTAGTAAATGGAAGTAAAAACTTGGTCACTGTCAGGAGGGCCATTGCTGTATGTATTGGAGTATTCCTTAAAGTATTACTATGGGAACTGTAAGGAAAAACTAAAAACTTTCCCAGCTCACTCTCAAAAGTAGATAAGGGTTTTGATGTATTCGATCTGCTGTGTGTGAAAACATGCTCTTTATACTGTATACACTTCTGTTTTGGGCTCACTAAATGTTTAAGCTTTGTTATAAAGTTATAAATAAGATATTTTTATTTATTTATGACTCCTAGCAATTATTTAAATTATGTGATTAAACAGTAATGTTTACTTGTGAAATTTTACTGTCATTCAAATATGTGAAGTAGCTAGGTCTGTTTTAAAGAGAAATACTACTCTATTTTCCCTTCTAAAGAAGACAGTTTTGTTTGTATGCTCTGAACATTTTCAGGATTGCAGTCTACAGGGAACACTTGCAAACAGCTAAGTAGGAAAAGGGCACCAGCTGCTTGAAAAATACCTGCTAAACTAGAGAGAGAGTTATAACTAAGGTCTGCCTCTAGCTAGGAGAAATGTAATGAAATAACTCATTACGACCTCCACTTTATTTTTATGACAGGAAATTAGAAGATTAGAAGCTTACAGGCATATTGAGTTACTTCAGAATGATAATTTTAGAACTAGAATATATTCAGAAGTATGAAAAGTAGAGGAATTTAACTTGAAATGTGGGAATTTGAAATTGCTTTAGAAATAGTCTTAGTCCCTATCATCTCATATTGTGCTTACACAGGCCTATTTTAATAAACAAATATTTGGTATGATTATGTTTCTATTTATACTATTTTCATTATTTGTCTCTGGAAATACGTATGGGTTGGTCATCAGTTCTCAGTAATAATTTTCTGAGCTTCTGATTGATGCAAGGAGGTATGTTGGGTACCAAGAGGTTTAGAATTATAATTCTGACTTTAAGGAACTTACTGTCCAGTTAGGCAAATTTCCGCTTCACCATTCACACCTTTTGTGGTGTGGATCAAGTTGCATAGCATCTCTAAGGTTCATTTTTCTCATCAGACTATTTATATTGAAGATTACATGTGTCAATGCACAGAATATGTATGTGTAGCAGTATTTGTGATACATGGTAGGTGATCAGTAAATTTCCAGCCTGAGTAATGCTTATAGAAACTGTTCCTTCACTTTAACTTTTCCTTTTTAATTTGAGATATGTTTTAAACAGATGGTTTTTATTAGTAAAATGTACTTTGTTCTTCTCAGGGTAGGTTGTATTAAATTACTAAAAAACAGATGACTAAGAAAACCTAATCACTGTGTTGGGAGTCAGTAGGGAAAGTTAGGATCTCAGTTCTCCATCTTGCTTATATTTGATAATCACTTGTGGGGGGAGGGTGTTGTTAAGTAATGTACAATTACTATTTCCCACCGTAGGCGAATGAATGAAAATCTCAAAGTTTGAGTCCTAGAAATCTATCATTTTCAAAACACACACACTCCCTACGCCAAGTATGAGAAACTTGTTCTCAAAGCACTGGCCTCCTCTGCAAACCTTCAGCTGAGCTCCTCTCCAGCAGCCTTTGACCAGGTCCTTCTCTTGCTCTTTTGGGTGGTAGGTTTAGTGTATTTGGAACCCTTCCAAGTGAGCTTCAGATTTCATGTGGGAAATAAGCTGTAAATTTTAATTTAAGGAAGCAATTTATAAGTCCAGTGTACTGCTTATTTCCCCGATAAAAACATAATTCTCAGATTATCTATTTTATGAAATGAGTTAATGACATTAAATTGTATATTTCAAATATTAAATTTTAAAAATATTTGTAAGTTTCTGTTCTTTAGGAAAGCAATGCCAAGTATGTTGTTAAGCACTGGAATATTGGAATACACACACATTCAAGTTTGCCTATTGAACTGACTGTTCTAAATAAGTCATTAATACTTTCATTTATATGATATGTTCTTGCTATGTTAATATTTATAGTAAATGAAATCTTGATAATAAGTTTTTCAAATATTGTTAGATTGAATGCAAGTAGAACAATTCACTTGAAGATTCTGTTGGTGAACTTTTTTGTTTAAGGAAATGTACATTTAAAATGACATTCTTGCTTTAATTAGTTTTGGAAAGTTTAAAGTCAAATATACTGTAAAAATTTTTAAATAAAAAATTACCTATAACTTAATATCTGTAACATTTTGTAAGCTTGACCACATAAGTCCAAATACTTTACCGTCTTTAAAAGATTCCAAGAAAGCTAGTGGAAATAATTTAAAGGTTAAAGTCAGAGCTGAAACCAGTTATCACCGTAAATATCAGCCAAGAAACTGAAAATGACATTTTCAGTGTGGGACTCAACAGAATTTGACAGAGAC